CGTGCGTGGTGGGGTGGGGGGGCAGTGCAGGCAGGCGGGGAGGGAGAGGCACAGGAAAGGCGGGCCCAGCGAGAGAGGCCACTGGCCCAGATTCCGCTCGCCAGGGGCCCAGTCCCTGAAGAGAGGGCGCGGGAGAAAGCCAGGCTCAGCCCACCGCCAGGAAGCCTTTCCTTAGGCTCGCCTAGGGAAGAAGGACCAGCCCGATCCCACGGAGCGGGAGGAGGCAGGCTGGCACCAGGGTGGAGGAGGAATGCTCCCAACTCTCAGCCCCGGGAGACCCTGGCTGCCGCTGGCCTCCTCCTCCTCCTCAGGCCCGGGGGAGGATGCTGCTGCTGCTGCTGCTGCTGGAGCCTTTCTGGGCACGGCCTCCTTGCCCCGGTTTCCTTCCCTACAGCCTCTGGTGGTGCTTCTTGCCTCCTCTGTGCCTGGGCCGGCGCCTGCCAGCACCTCTTCTGGAGCAGGGGAGAGTGGAGATGGGACACACACACACACAGAGACAATCTGTCCAGTCTCTTCCTAGCTATCCTCAGGACAACCCAGGAGGTGAGGAGCCCGGGGGTGATCTTTCATGCCTCACTTTCCACGGAGGTCCAGGTCGTCGCTGCAGCCGCCAGGTCTGCCTTTTATCATCTCTGGCAGGTCAGGCAGCTGGTTCCCCACCTCTCCCCCCGGGACTTGGCTACAGTGACCCATGCAATGGTCGCTTCTAGGCTTGATTATTGTAACTCGCTTTAGACGGACTTACCCTTGAGGCTGATCCAGAAACTCCAGCTAGTGCAAAATATGGCGGTGCGCCTGCTGACGGCGGTGTCTGTGCGGGCACTCGTGCCAACTGCACTCGCTACCAACTGAGTACTGGATCCCGTTTCAAGGTGTCGGTGCTGACCTTTAAAGTCTTATGCGGCTTGGGACCGACATCTCTAAGGGACCGCCTCTCTGCATAGGCGCCTCTGGAGAGCCTTGCGCTCTGTGGATAGCCATCTGCCGGTTGTCTCCGGCCCAAAAGATGCCCGTCTAGCCTCGACCAGGGCCAGGGCTTTCTCGGTCCTGGTCTTGGTCCCAGCCTGGTTGAACATGCTGCCGATTGAGATCGGGGCCCTGTGAGACCTATTACGGTCTCACGGGGCCTGTAAAGCGGAGCTGTTTGGCCAGAGCCTGTGACTGAGGCAGAGGGCATCCACCAGCTGGCCTCCTTACTGCTGCCACATGAGACCACCGTGGCTCGGCGTCAGTCCACTTATTTTCCAAGCTGTAGGAACTGGAATTACATGCACTGCACTGCCCACTCTAAACGTTTTAAATTGGTTTTACTGCGTTATTTGATTGCGTTATATTTATTGTTGTGAGCCGCCCTGAGCTCGTTTGCGGGAAGGCCGGGATACACACTGAAATAATAAATAAATAAAATAGATAAACAGGGCAACCACCAGGTCTCTATGTGGGTGTCAATGGCCATCTAGTTGCAACCAAGGGGCTTTCAAGGCAAGCAGGCAGCAGAGGCGCTTGGCCACGGCCTTCCTGTGCAGAGCCTTCCTTGGGGTCTTCCCTTCCAAGCAGTGTTCCCTCTAAGCTGAGTTAGTGTGAGCCAGCTCACAGTTTTTAAGCCTCCGGCTCACAACTTTTTGTCTTCGCTCAGGGAGGGATGGGGCTTCAGAGCAAACTAGTTTACACAGTAGCCAAATCGCTCACTCACAACTTTAATGCCAGTAGCTCACAAAGCAGAACCTTTGCTCACAAGACTCCACAGCTTGGAGGGAGCATTGCTTCCAAGTACCAACCCTGCTTAGCTTCCGAGATTTGACAAGATCAGGCTACACCATGCCACCTTCCTCCCACCAGCTGTCGATATGTAGAATCTGATGAAGGGAAGGGGACTGAACTTTCCACGCCAGACACCGACCCTTTCACACAGCCGTCTCCCGCTACATTCACGCACCTGCCGATTAACTCACCTGGGCACGGAGGAACGTTTTCAAGTGCCAGCTCCTGCTCCACATCTTTGTTCTCTGCCTTGCAGGGCCCAGACGTTCCCGGCGGGGGACTTGGGCTGGCCACATCAGAGGTTTCTGCCTTGATGCTCACAGGCTGGGAGCTCACAGCAGCCTCTCCTGGAAGGAAATCAAAATAGTGAAAAAAAGAACCAAGGAATTCCTTTCTGGCATTCAGTTCAACACTGACCAAGACGCTGAACCCGATTAGCAAGGTTGTCTGCAGATTACAATTACAGGTATGCTCTTTCCACACTTGGGAAGTCTATTGAGACCTAGAAAACACCAAGAGACTGCTCTGTATCTCGGTTAAGCGTTTTATAAGGGGGAAGGCAAATTATTAAAAGGGTGAATGCGAAACCCCACACGCATATCCCTCCATGGGGACATCTACAGCTCACCCCTCTATACACACACCACAAAAAACACACCAAACATTACTCACCGGGGCAGGGAGGAATGCTTCCAGCTACCAGCTTCTGCTCCACCACTTCGTTCTCTGCCTTGCAGGACCCAGGTGTTCCCGGCGGGGGACTTGGGCTGGCCACATCGGAGGTTTCTGCCTTGATGTTCACAGGCTGGGAGCTCACCGCAGCCTCTTCTGGAAGGAAAACAGATAAGTGTGGGGAGGAAAGAAATGAAAAACTCCTTTGCAGTATTCAGTTTAACATTCACCAAGATGTTGAACCCAATTAGCAAAGTTATTTGCAGATCAGAATTACAAGTATGCTCTTTCCACACTTTTGGAGCTAGAAGACATCAAGAGAATGCTCTGTATCTCAGTTAAGCATTTTATAAGGGGAAAGGCAAATGATTAAAAGGGTGAGTGCAAACCCCACATGCATGTCCCTCCATGGATTCAACTCAGCCCCTGTAAACACCCATCACTAATTACTCACCTGGGCAAGGAGGAACGCTTCCAAGTAACAGCTCCTGCTCGGCATCTTTGTTCTCTGCCTTGCAGGGCTCAGACGTTCCCGGCTGGGGACTTGGACTGTCAACATCGGACGTTTCTACCTTGATGCTCACAGGCTGGGAGCTCCCAGCAGCCTCTCCTGGAAGGAAAACCGAATAGTGAAAAAAGAACCAAGGAATTCCTTTGCGGCACTCAGTTCAACAGTGACCAAGACACTGAACCCAACTGGCAAGATTACCTACAGATCAGAATTACAGGCATTCTCTCTCCACACCTGTGAAGTATACTGAGAGCTGCAAAACACCAAGAGACTGCTCTGTATCTCTGTTAAGCACTTTGTAAGGGGGAAGGCAAATGATTAAATGGGTGAGTGAAAAACCCCGCACGCATACCCCTTCATGGGGACATCTACAATTCACCCCCCTACTCACACACCACAAAACACACACCCACAAACCCTTAGTCACCTGGGCAGGGAGGAACGCTTCCAAGTGCCAGCTCCTGCTTCACATCTTCGTTTTCTGCCTTGCAGAGCCCAGGTGTTCCTGGCTGGGGACTTGGGCTGGCCACATCAGAAGTTTCTGCCTTGATGCTCACAGGCTGGGAGCTCACAGCAGCCTCTCCTGGAAGGAAAAAAGAATAGTGAAAAAAGAACCAAGGAATTCCTTTGTGGCAATCAGTTCAACACTCACCAAGACATTGAACCCAACTGGGAAGATTATCTACAGATCAGAATTACAGGCATGCTCTCTCCACACCTGTGAATTATACTGAGAGCTGTAAAACACCAAGAGACTGCTCTGTATTTCTGTTAAGCACTTTGTAAGGGGGAAGGCAAATGATTAAAAGGGGTGCTCTCTCCACACCTGTGAATTATACTGAGAGCTGTAAAACACCAAGAGACTGCTCTGTATTTCTGTTAAGCACTTTGTAAGGGGGAAGGCAAATGATTAAAAGGGTGAGTGCAAAACCCCACACGCATATCCCTCCATGGGGACATCTACAATTCACCCCTCTACTCACACACCACAAAACACACACACACACACGAACCATTACTCACCTGGGCAGGGAGGAACACTTCCAAGTGCCAGCTCCTGCTTCACATCTTCGTTTTCTGCCTTGCAGGGCCCAGGTGTTCCTGGCTGGGGACCTGGACTGGCCACATCAGAGGTTTCTGCCTTGATGCTCACAGGCTGGGAGCTCACAGCAGCCTCTCCTGGAAGGAAAACAAAATAGTGAAAAACAGAACCAAGGAATTCCTTTGCGGCACTCAGTTCAACAGTGACCAAGACACTGAACCCAACTGGCAAGATTACCTACAGATCAGAATTACAGGCATTCTCTCTCCACACCTGTGAAGTATACTGAGAGCTGCAAAACACCAAGAGACTGCTCTGTATCTCTGTTAAGCACGATGTCCTTGACAACCACTGACCTCAAGCCAGACATCCTGGAATGGGAAGTGAAATGGGCCTTAGAAAGCATTACTAACAACAAAGCTAGTGGAGGTGATGGTATCCCAGCTGAACTATTCAAAGTCTTAAAAGATGATGCTGTTAAAGTGCTGCACCCAATTTGCCAGCAAATTTGGAAAACGCAACAGTGGCCACAGGATTGGAAAAGGTCAGTATACATTCCAATCACAAAGAAGGGCAATGCCAAGGAATGTTCAAACTATCGCACAATTGCACTCATATCACACGCTAGCAAGGTCATGCTCAAGATCCTACAAGCTAGGCTTCAAAGAGGTAGAGGAACTAGAGATCAAATTGCCAACATTCGCTGGGGGCTTGAAGCTCAACATCAAAAAAACTAAGATCATGGCATCCGGCCCCATCACCCCTTGGCAAATAGAAGGGGAAGTCGTGGAAGTAGTGACAGACTTCACGTTCCTGGGATCCCAGATCACCGCAGACTGTGACAGCAGCCATGAAATTAAAAGACGCCTGATCCTTGGGAGGAAAACGATGGCGAACCTAAACAGCATGATAAAAAGTAGAGACATCACCCTGCCAACAAAAGTTCGCATGGTCAAAGCAATAGCATTCCCAGTAGTCATGTATGGCTGTCAGAGTTGGACTGCAAGGAAGGCCGAGCGCCGAAGAATAGATTCTTTTGAACTATGGTGCTGGAGAAGACTCTTGAGAGTCCCTTGGACTGCAAGAAGATCAAATCCGTCAATCCTAAAAGTAATCAACCCTGACTGATCCCTAGAAGGCCAGATAATGAAGCTGAAGCTCAAATACTTTGGCCACCAAATGAAAAGGGAGCACTCACTGGAGAAGACCCTGATGCTGGGAAAGATTTAAGGTCAAAAAAGACGGGGACAGCAAAGGATGAGATGGTTAGACAGTGTCATAGATGCAATGAACATGAAGTTGAACCAACTTCAGAGGACGGCGGAAGACAGGAAGGCCTGGCATGATCTGGTCCATGGGGTCGCACAGAGTCGGACTCGACTGTGCGACTGAACAACAACAACAACAAAGGGTGAAGGCAAATGATTAAAAGGGTGAGTGAAAAACCCCGCACGCATAACCCTCTATGGGGACATCTACAATTCACCTCTCTACTCACACACCACAAAACACACACACACACACACACACACACACACACACACAAAAACCATTACTCACCTGGGCAGGGAGGAACGCTTCCAAGTGCCAGCTCCTGCTTCACATCTTCGTTTTCTGCATTGCAGGGCCCAGGTGTTCCTAGCAGGGGACTTGGGCTGGCCACATCAGAGGTTTCTACCTTGATGCTCACAGGCTGGGAGCTCACAGCAGGCTCCCCTGGCAGACAAATCAAAATAGTGAAAAACAGAACCAAGGAATTCCTTTGTGGCATTCAGTTCAACATTGACCAAGACGTTGAACCTGATTAGCATGGTTATCTGCAGACCAGAATTACAGGTATGCTCTCTCCCCACCTGTAAAGTCTACTGAGAGCTAGAAAACACCAAGAGGCAGTGCTGTATCTCTGTTAACCATTTTATAAGGGGGAAGGCAAATGATTAAAAGGGGGAGTGCGAAACCCCACACACATATCCCTCCATGGGGACATCTACAACTCACCCCTCTACACACATACCACAAAAACACACGAACCATGACTCACCTGGGCAAGGAGGAACGCTTCCAAGAACCAGCTCCTGCTCCACATCTTTGTTCTCTGCCTTGCAGGGCCCAGATGTTCCTGGCTGGGGACCTGGACTGGCCACATCAGAGGTTTCTGCCTTGATGCTCACAGGCTGGGAGCTCCCAGCAGCCTCTCCTGGAAGGAAAGCAAAACAGTGTAAAAAAGAAATGAAGAATTCCTTTGCAGCATTCAGTTCAACACTGACCAAGATGCTGAACCCGATTAGCAAGGTTATCTGCAGACCAGAATTACAGGTATGCTCTCTCCACACCTGTAAAGTCTACTGAGAACTAGAAAACACCAAGAGACAGCTCTGTATGTCTGTTAACCAATTTATAAGGGAGAAGGCAAATGATTAAAAGGGTGAGTGCAAAACCCCACACGCATATCCCTCCATGGGGACATCTACAACTCACCCATCTATACACACACCACAAAAAACCACAGCAACAATTACTCACCTGGGCAGGGAGGAATGCTTCCAGCTACCAGCTCCTGCTCCACATCTTTGTTCTCTGCCTTGCAGGGTCCAGATGTTCCTGGCTGGGGACTTGGACCGGCCACATCGGAGGTTTCTGCCTTGAAAGTGACAGGCTGGGAGCTCACAGCAGCCTCTCCTGGAAGGAAAACAAGATAGTGAAGGACAGAAACGAAGAATCCCTTTGCGGCATTCAGTTCAGCCCTGACCAAGACAGTGAACCTGATTGACGCTGTTACCTGTGACTGTCCATGTGACTGTTGAGTTGTTTATCATTGTGGCAAGTTAAGTATTAGAGTCCATGTGACCACTAAATAGTTTATCATTATTAAGTAGTTTATAATTTCTCATTATTAATGACCTACAGCTCATGCTGGATAGTGACACTTCCCTCATACAGGCACTGGGGGGGGGGGGGGGGCTGACCTTTTCTTGCTTACAGACAAGCCTGCTAACCTAAAACCGCTTCTCACCCGCAATGATAAACTACTTGTTAGTAGTTTATAGAGCCCACCTCCTGTTAGAACCCATATCCAACCAGTGCTGTCCCAGCTGCACTGGCTCCATATTAAATACCGGATCAGGTTCAAAGTTTTGGTATTAACTGTCAAAGCCCTAAACAGTCTGGGACCTTCAGGACCGCCTCTCCTGGTATATCCCCCCCCCCAAGAGCGCTACGCTCTAGAGACAACAACCTACTGGTGACCCCTGGTCCAAAATGTCTCCAGCTGTCTTCAACCAGAACAAGGCCGTTTTCCAGCCCTGGCTCCAACCTGGGGGAATGCTCTCCCGGCCAAGATTTGGGACCGGCAGGATCTGATGCAGTTCCACAGGGCCTGCAAGATGGAGCTATTCCGCCACGCCCATGGTTGAGGGTAGTGACGGTCTACCATTCTAGACTGGTCCCCCTTCCTCTTTCCCCTCCCTGTTTTCCTTCTTATCAGCTGGATCTTACATTTCCCCCTCTCCTGGGAACAATAACCCAGCAACAATAACTCACCTGGGCAGGGAGGAATGCCTCCAGCTACCAGCTCCTGCTCCACATCTTTGTTCTCTGCCTTGCAGGGCCCAGATGTTCCTGGCTGGGGACTTGGGCTGGCCACATCAGAGGTTTCTGCCTTGATAGTGACAGGCTGGGAGCTCACAGCAGCCTCTCCTGGAAGGAACACAAAATAGTGAAAAAAGGAACCAAGGAATTCCTTTGCAGCATTCAGTTCAACACTGACCAAGAAGCTGAACCCAATTAGCAAGGTTGTCTGCAGACCACTGAATCTGCAGCCCACTGAATGGACACCGCCTTCCTAGAGGGACAGTGAGACCCCTCTGGCTGATTCCCCAACCTTGGGAAGTTGGTACCACTCTTTGGGCACCCCCTGGAGAGTTGGCAACCCCTCCTATTTGGGCCCGTTTGTGTTCCCTGGCCTCCCTTTGCCCCTGGTAACGTGCTGAGCAGGGAGGACTAGGAGGTCAAGGCACACCAGGTCATATTTAACTCAGCAAGGTTTACTTTAACTATATAGAAGTTAAGCGCAGAAAATAAACCACAAGCACATTAATACCACCTGGGCAGAAAATAAATATGATTTAAAACGCCAGTCCTCTGTCCTCTACACACACACCCTCTCTGTCTCTGGAGGTTGTGGGCCTCGGGATGGGTTTTGCTTTCCCCCTCCTGTTGTTGTGGAGAAACCCCCCAGCGCTTCACTGGAGCCCCTGGTCCCTCCTCCCCCCCCCCCCCCGGTTTATAGTGGCCCGGATGCCCCGGAGTTTGAGGCAAGAGGAGCCCCCACGTGTCCGCTCCCTTGAAGCTGCCCTCCAAGCTGACCTGAAGGCCAGACCAGGCTGAAGACTGAACTCCCCCCTCAGGGCCAAAGCCTTTATCTGCCTGGCTCCGCCCCTGGGGTGTGTCCATAGTTCTCCGCTCTTTTCACTAAAGCTTCTGGGAACTGTAGACAGGGAAGTATGGCAGCTCCATTGTTCCCTATGGAGTACCTCCCCCCTCCTAAGGACTATCAGGATGGCATCCATTTTAAAATAGACTGCTGCCTCTGCCTGGCAGCCATTTCGATTCACCCCGCCCTTGTCTCAGAGCGGCTTATAATCTCCTTTCCCTTCCCCTCCCCACAACAGACACCCTGTGATAGGTGGGGCTGAGAGAGCTCTCTCGAGAACCGCCCTTGAGAGAACAGCTCTGAGAGAACTTGTGACTGACCCAAGGTCACACCAGCAGCTGTGGAGGAGTAGGGAATAAAACCTGGTTCTCCCAGATTACAGTCTACGCTCTTAACCACTACACCAAACTGGCTCTCTACACACACACACACCAAAAAACCCCACACAAATACAAAAAAAAATTACTGACCTGGGCAAGGAGGAACGCTTCCAGCTCCCAGCTCCACATCTTTGTTCTCTGCCTTGCAGGGCCCAGGTGTTCCTGGCTGGGGACTTGGACTGGCCACATCAGAGGTTTCCGCCTTTTTGCTCACAGGCTGGGAGCTCACCGCAGCCTCACCTGGCAGGCAAACTGAATAGTGAAAAAAAGAATTGAAGAATTCCTTTGTGGCATTCAGTTCTAAATTGACCAAGACACTGAACCTGACTGACACTAAGGGAAACTGAGCTGCACAGCAGGAGGAGGAGAGAACGATTTGATGGGGGCTGGCCCTCCTCAGTAGCCAGCCAGCCAGCCAGGGAGAAGCCAAGCAGGAGAAGCGTCTTTGTCAGGACAGACAGCCGTTTTGGCAATTTATTCCGATGGGGGGGGGGGAGTATCCAAGCTGGCAGTGGCCGAGAGAGAGAGGAGCGAACCCAGCACCCAGACAATGGCATGCGAGTACTCTTGAGTGGTGGTTGATGGGCCAATGGCTGATGGAGTGCACAGCACAACCAATGGGAGAGCTGGAAAGTGCCAACACGGTAGGGCTTTTATATATATCAGATGATCCCTTTATTTCCTTTTTCTGTATCCCCTCTATACTATTGTTTTGTTTTCTAAAATAAAAAATATATGAAAAAAAAGAAAACACATCAACAACCACTCACCTAAGGAAAGAGGAATGCTAACTACCAGCTCCTGCTCCGCATCTTCGTTCTCTGCCTTGCAGGGCCCAGACGTTCCCGGCGGGGGACTTGGGCTGGCCACATCAGAGGTTTCTGCCTTTTTGCTCACAGGCTGGGAGCTCACAGCAGCCTCACCTGGCAGGCAAACTAAATAGTGAAAAAAAGAAATGAAGAATTCCTTTGAGGTATTCAGTTCAACACTGACCAAGGCACTAAACACGATTAGAAAGGTTACCTGCAGATCAGAATTACAGGTATCTCTCCACACCTGCAGAGTCGATTGAGAGCTAGAAAACACCAAGAGACTGCTCTGTATCTCTGTTAAGCGTTTTATAAGGGGGAAGGCAAATGATTGGTTATGCATATGGAGACATCAGGAAAGGTCTGGTTTCTCAGACTACAGCCTATGTGCCTTCAAGGTGAAGCAGTTCTGTCGAGAGATGATTTGTACCTCACAAGGGTAGGAAGAAGTTGTTTGGCAAGAGAGTCACACACCTGATAAACAGGGCTTTTAAACTGAACCCTGTGGTGGAGGGAGAAAAAAACCGAAAGCTAGTATGATGCCAATACCGAGATAAGAACTTAAAGATGCATGAGGAGGCGCACTTTTACAGGTACCCATTAATTTACAGGTAGAACAGAAATAAAGCCCTCAGAGCACATATAGGATGGATTCTGATACCTCTACACCAATGTGCGGAGTATGGAAAACAAGCAGGAGGAACTTGAAGTCTTAATAAAGGAAGGGGACTATGACCTAGTAGGAATTGCTGAAACTGGACCTTTGGACACTTACCATGAAGGGTCCTTCTCCTCTGAGGATAGGAGGACATCTCTGGGTGTTTCCCACCGTCCAATCAGAGAGGCAGGAACTAAATTCTTCCTCCTCCTGTCTGGCGTGTGGGACACCCTTTCCTCAGTTTGGGTGATTCCGCAAAGCAGCAGAATGCAAACTTCCTAATAACATCTCGAATTTGAGAAGTGACAGTGACAAATGTTAACTGCAACAGGCATGAACAAAGGATGCAGAGGAGAAAGAAAAGTGCAGCAGCGAAAGAATGAGGAGGATAAAGACCCTTCACGGTAAGTGGTCAAAGGTCCATTCTCCCTGTCATGATCTGGGCTGTGCCACTGGAGGCCTAGTAGGCAGTAGGGGAGGCTGGGCCTACAAACCCCAGAAGGCCTTGGGAAGTTTTGGCACCGATTTTGGCCAATAGGGAAGAAGAGGGCTGGGGAACAAAAGAGCTGGTGCAAGAGGAGAAGCTGCTGTTCTTCCCAGGGAACAGGGCCAGAAGGAAGGCTGCTGTGGGGAAGAAACCTTCATCCTGAGGGAATGAGTAGTCTAAGGCCACTTGAGTCAGTGAGCTAGGGACAGTATATTTAGACGCATAAGGGCATTTAATTTCTTTTCATCCACTTACTGTTATTATTCCTGCTCTTTGTTTGTTTTACCTCCTATAAAATAAACCATTTTCATTGTTCATTCTGCCTGGTCCTTCTCAGAGGAGCCTGGAACCAGAGTGGTGGCAGCATCAGGTGACACCTCATCTGAGCCATGACACTCTCTCTGAGGCAGAGGACATTTTGGGGCACTCCCAAAGCAGTGCTTAATTCTTGGGTTGGTTGCTGCCTTCATCTGATAGAATGTGCTGCAGCACTCTTCTTCAAAGGCAGCATCTGCTGAAGCCTACAGGTTCAGCTTATAGCATCGCACGAAGGTAGAGCGTGACAACCATGTTGTCACCTTACAAACTTCTGCTACTGAAGAATTTCTGAGAAAGGCTGCATTGGTGGAGGTGCTCCTGAGTATGCGTTATACCCTGAGAAATATTGCCAAGAGATCTGTATGCTTCCACAATGCAGGACTTGATGGCCAATCCTATGGCTGCTGAAGACATTTTTCTTCCCAAGTTAAGAGTAGAAATATTGATGAATAAAGAGTCTGATCACCTTATTTATTCCAAGTGGATCAGGTAGACCTTGAGTGCCCTCTGGACATCCAGGGTATGCCAACTTCTCCGTGGGGTGTTTTGGATCCGGACAGAAAGACAGTAAGCATATTTTCTGTGCTCACTGGAATTTGGAATACACTTTTGGTAGAAAGGTGGCGTCAGTGCGAAGTACCAGCTTGTCTTTGTGGAAGATACAGAGCTCAGATCAGATTGCTTAATTCCGAGTGCTTAATTCCGAGTGCTTAATTCCGAGATCCTCCTGGCTGACATAACCGCCACTAGGAAGGTAGTCTTTAGTTGCAACCATTGGAGAGGCACTTCCTTGATCGTTTCGAAGGGATGCTTAGTCAGGGCCAACAATATGGAGTGAAGCCACCACGTAGGAAAACAGTGCACCGTGGGAGGATCCTCAGCAGCTGGTGGTTGCAAAGAGGTCTAGGAGTGGCATTCTGAAGTGCAATGTGATCAGTCAGAAGACTTCCCTCTTGAGGGACCATTCCCCCTGCTGAAAGGTCTCTCTGCTCAGCCAGTCCACCTGGATATTGTTGATGCCTCTGATGTGCTCGGCCCTGATTGAGGCAAGGTGACCATCTGCCCAGGTAAGTGATATGGTAGCTTCCTTGTGAAGTCTCGAAGATGGTGAGGGGTCTGGAGACTATGTCCTATGAGAAAAGGTTGAAGGAGCTGGGTATGTTTAGCCTGGAGAGGAGACAATTGAGAGGCGCTATGATAACCATCTTCAAGTACTTGAAGGGTTGTCATATAGAGGATGGAGTAGAGTTGTTTTCTGTTGCACCAGAAAGTCGAACCAGAACCAACGGGTTGAAATTAAATCAGAAGAATTTCTGACTAAACATTAGGAAGAACTTCCTGATAGAGCGGGTTCCTCAGTGGAACAGGCTTCCTCAGGAAGTGGTGGGCTCTCCTTCTTGGGAGGTTTTCAAACAGAGGCTAGATGACCATCTGACAGCAATGCTGATTCTGTGAACTTAGGCAGATCATGTGAAAGAGGGCAGAAAAGGTTGCATCAGTGCTTAGTTCCTGTGGCCCTTTCTTATATGGCCAGGAAAATGCTGATTGCCACTTTGAGTTCAGGAAGCAATTTTTCTCCAGGCCAGTTTGGCCGGGGATCCTGGAGATTTTTTGGTCATCTTCTGGGTATGGAACAGCAGTCACTAGGAGTGTGTGTGTGTGGGGGGGGAGTATTTGTGAATTTCCTGCATTGTGCAGGAGAGGTCCCAACTCTTATCCTGCACCCCCCCCCCCCCCGATTGTAAATATATGTTTTTGCTGAAACGTTGTCTGTACAAATCAGAATGTGACAGTGCTTAACAGTAGCGCCAGATAAATAGCTCTTAGTTCTAGGACACTGATGGGTAAAGTTGATTTGTTTTTTCTCCGACTCTGAACTGGATTGCCATCCAGTGTTGCCCCCCAGCCCATGAAGCTGGTGTCCGTAAATACCTGGTGTTCCTGAGGTATAACAAACCTTTTGCCCTGTAGTAGATTGGCGTCCTTGGTCTACCATCTCAGACTGGTCTTGACCATCAGTGGCACTCTGAGACACCAGTCCTCCTTTTCCATTATCTGTTGTTGATAAGGTCTGTGGAAGGTCTGAAGAGGTCTTAGGTGCAAACATCTCCAGAGAAGAGCATCGTTGTTGGCCACCAGGAGACCCATCAGTTTGACCAGTGTCAGGAGAGAATGACTGGCTTCTGATTACTGTGTCTACTAGTCGTTTGGTTTTTCTCATCTTTTCTCTGGTAAGATACAGCGAAAACTTCGTCATGTCTATGATGATACCCAGGTGTTCCTATCTTTGAGAAGGCTGGAGGGAGCCTTTGTGCAAGTTTATCAGGAATCTGTGATTTTGTAAGTACTGGATTGTGACTTGAGTGTCCTGATGAGATTTCTCTCGTGAGTTAGACCTGATCAGGAGGTTATCCAAGTACGGATGAACATGGATGCCTTGTTCACTTGAAGTAATGATACCTCTAGTTAGACCTCACCTGGAGTATTGTGTTCAGTTTTGGGCACCACAACTTAAGAAAGATATAGACAAGCTGGAACGTGTCCAGAGGAGGGCAACGAAGATGGTGAGGGGTCTGTAGATCAAGTCCTATGAAGAAAGGTTGAAGGAGCTCAGTATGTTTGGCCTGGAGAGGAGACGACTGAGAGGTGACAGGATAACCATCTTCAAGTACTTGAAGGGCTGCCATATGGAGGATGGAGCTGAGTTGTTTTCTGTTGCACCAGAAGGTTGGACCAGAACCAACGGGTTGAAATTAAATCAGAAGAATTTTTGGCTAAACATTAGGAAGAACTTCCTGACAGTTAAAGCGATTCCTCAGTGGAAGAGGCTACCTCAGGAGGTGGTTGGCTCTCCTTCATTGGAGGTTTCCAAAGAGAGGCTAGATGGCCATATGACAGCAATGCTAATTGTGTGAGGCAGATCATGAGAGGGATGGCAGGGAGAGGCGGGGCAACAATGCAGCGACGTGGTTGAGTTTTCTCAGGGCTCTGAGACTCACCAACTTCTGGAGCTTTTTTAGGGGTCCATTTGGTTCTCCTTGGTCCCATCAGTTCGTCGGGAGTACGAACTGATTGCAGAGGACTTTTATATCTGAGCCCCCCGTTTGTGGCAACAACGGGTGTGGAGTCAGAATTGTCCTAACGCAGGAAGCACTGAAGACCAGCGGTGATAGCACGACTGACAAGCTGTATTACCCCTTTACAAAGAGCCTTCAAACCTCGTCATACCATCTAGGCGGTGAATCTGTGAGCACTTTCTTTTTCTTGACAACTTTCAAGCTTGGAAAACAACTTCTATTTGCCCCTATAATCTTCCCGAGAAGCTAAAGGAGCTGCTGAGGAATCTTCCCTCACGCATTCCTATGATAAG